GAGAAAAAATTTACAGCCCAGGGAGTGCAGTACAGTCGCAGTGAGGTGGGCAGCGAGATTCATACACGGATCAGATGAAATCTGATGCGGTAGAGAAGTGTGACACAGCTGTTCAGCTGTCTCTCTACACTCAGTGTGTTTATGGCCAGGGAGTTAGTAACAAGGGTCAGTTACATTAATCAGCTGCTAAAGTTCTGTGTTTTTGACTGTACTTACGGACATCAGGTGTTACCATAACACAGGCGCTTGCATTTGTGATACATCTGTGTCTCTTCGTTTTTGTCATAAGGCATGTTATGGGAGAAAGAGTCTTGTAAAGTCTTGCATTGAGCAGGTAAATTGTCAGCTGTGCAGGGATGGCACTGCTTGATTTTCTGTTGTTGTGCTGGTGTATACAACTGTGGTAGCCCACGCCTCCTAGACTCCTTAGTCTAACCTGATGTGGCTCCAACTCTGTTCCAGCCACCTGATTGGTTTGGCACAGTACTATTCTCATTGTCATTGGGCTTTTGTGTTGTCCTTCAAAACACAGACGTTCTATAGACTTTAACTATGTCTCATATCACGGAAAACCTATTTCGCATTAACTATCTTTATCACTTTATTGCCCAGTCCTTCAGTCAGAACGCGGTGTATCATCTTTAGATTCCAGCTAGCTAGATTAAACTCATACGTCTTGTTTTTGTCAAGTTAAACTTTACAGTAACACCTGAAACAGCTACACTCATCATTTTATTAGAGCTGAAAGAATTTGGACCATTCTTAAGCCTCATTGGTGCCTCAGTGTTTGTTTGCTTTTGGGAACAGAAGGAGCATTTGGAGCCCTGAAATGGCTAATGATGTCAGAGTTAACAAGTGAGGCGTTTAGGGAGAACTGTTAAACTGTAAATCTCAGCCTGGGGAAAACACTGGAGTTACAATGTGACACAGTTCTAAAAAATTGTTTGTCACCATGTACGACTTGATCTTGACATTGAAATAAAGTTTCAATTTGATTATTTAGCAGCTTCTTCGGTTTGGATTAGAGTTTCTTTTTAAGGAGGAAGGTTATGTATGTGCGTGCATGACAGCTTTCAGGACCAACTGCCATCACATGAGATGTTTAGAGAATATCTAAAGTATTGATTAACAAATTCTGTTCACTTAACATCACTGTAAATATGTGCAGGGCATCATTTTATGCATGATATGAACACTGAAGAACAGCAGTTTACACAGTAGCACAACAGTCTGTTAACAGCTGTCACTATATTCAAGAACAGGAAAGACAGATGGAGGATAAAGAAAAGAGACCAGAGAAGCTTCAAAATGAGTTGTGATCAAGATAGAGGTTGTGTCTGCTTTTTGTAGTTTATCAGGTGAGGCAAAGATATCGTGTTAGTCAAGGCCAACAGATTCTTTTTTTAAACATAACAGGCACAAATGTCATTTTTGTTAACAGAGGCGAAATGAGATAATTTTTAATTTTTTGTGTGGTTTCGCTTTATTTTTGCTTATTTTTTTAATAATAATGGAATTAAATTTTTTAAGTATTGTATACACTCTACAAAGAAGTATGAGCCAAGGTGTAAAAGCCCACTTGTGCAGTAATAATACCACTATGGCATACTGTGAAATACTATTGTCAGCAAAACAGAGGGCAGGTATGCATTGTTTTTTGCTGTGTTAGCCACATGGCAGCAGGGATGGATGCCAGTCTGCTGATTGCCAGGATTTACTCAACAGCTATTGGATGGATTTTGCCCAGACTTTAAGAGGATGACGAGACACTATTATACATTTAATGAGATCAAACTTTCAGTTTGTCCAATACTAATTACAGAGTCACTTCAAAACTAAAGACCTTCACATCAGTCTCAGCTGGAGCTTGTGTTTACTGGTCTTTGTTTTCAATGGTAAGGTCATGTGAGTTTCCTAAGGTTTTGCTGCCTGTAAACCTTAAACTTCATGTTGCGACTGCATTTTCACATTGAAATCAAATTTGGGAGAACAAGTAAACAAGTGATAAATTATGTCAATGAAGGTGAAAAAGGGTAAAATATAAAATGTTAATAGGGTTAATACAGTCAATAACTTTACATCTGATTTTTGGAGGTACTTGCGTAAAATATACACCCAATTTTTGTATTAACGGCAGCTCAAATTACTACACATAATATTAAAGACGTCACATCATAGGGACAAACCCACATGTAATTTAATCCAAAGAATGCTGCTGCTTTGTTACCACAACACATGTACACATGATGTCTAATATCAGATTAACTGAGTTTATGCCACCTTCTCGTATTTAGCAGCTCAAAAGCCACATTTTTCTTCTAATAAGATTTATCAACATCATAAATCAATAATCAGTTGTTCCTTGTTGTTAATGGGGTTGTGCTTCTGTAAAGTTACTCTACCATGGCTAAGAAATTCATTAGTCTTGAGCCAGTAGTAAAGAAATCTCTACATGTCTTATCAGAAGGAGGGGGGGAAAGAACAGAACAGTATCAGTGAAATCCGCCTAATCAAATTAGTGTGGAAATCCTCTGTTGTTCGGTCCCTAGCCTGTAGGATGACTTGGCCCTCTGAGGACTCGACTAGTTAGATGACACACTTCCCTGTTGGCCCCTCCCTGTGGAGTTGGGGCCATCAGTGTTGCAGTGTGTGAAGAATAATCACAGAAGCAGAGTAGGAAGGAACAGAGTTAAATTTAGTCTGCAGACAGGGACATTAGCAGCAAAAGAACAGAAACAAAAAACAAGACATCCTTAGAAAACACAATAAGGATGTTCTTATATTGTTACACTCTGCAATGCAGCCAAGCTTCACCTAAAAGACGTTGGTGGTAAAGCTGCTCTTTGGAGAATTTAACAGTTGGTAAGTTAGTGAGTGTGCAGCACAGGTGCATGCTCCCCTGTCTAAACGTTATTAACGAAAAGCTCTCTGTGTTCTAACATCATTAAAAGGCACTCTGACATAACACCTTTCCTCTGCGCCCACCACCATATTTATTCCGCTTTTATGTCTGTGTGTGTTTGTGAGCATTCCCAGTGAAGACAGGGATCGCTGTTAGAGTGAGAAAATTCACATTCATGTCTTTATCAGACTCTAGCGCCGTCCTGCTAATCAGCCAGGTATGCAATTCTCTCCGGTATCTGTGTGCGTCTGTCTCATGTGGTCACGGTCCCTCCCTCCACCACCACCACCTCCACCTCCACCTCCCTCTGTTTCCCATCTTTTCGTGTATCTGCAGTAAGGAAAGATATGTAGGTCTCATTCCAGTCCTTCACAGCATTTTATTCTGTCCTAATCTCATCTTTCCCGTTAGATAGCCTGTCTTTATCGTTGCATAAAACCTCTCGCATCTCCATCACTCACTCGTAAACATCCTCTTTTCAGTATGTCTTGTCAACAGTATTCACCCCCCCCCCCT